GCTCATTGTTCGGGAATGATTCTGTACTCTGTGGAGAAGCTGTGTAGCGACGTGTCTCCAGCTGATAGGGGCGGTAGTCCCAAGGCACCTGAAAGTACCACCAACCCCCTCTGAGTCCCCTGGGCGGTCACAGGTTTTAGTTTTGCTTGGACCAGTGTTTAATTTCTCTATCAGACAACACCTTCTTTCCTTCTCTAGCTTCTTCATAGACTTTCTCCCTTTCTCTCTGATAGGAGGTTTTAGTTAGAAACAATCGGGAACTCGGTATGTTTCTCTCTTGGTCAACGGGTAAGTTGTCAGAGTTACTCGACAGCTGGCACGCAGCAGCAGGCCACGCGGTGACAAAACTACCGCCTAGACTGGCACGTCGTTACGGAGAAACTGCGAGCACGGTGCCCCATGTGCCCGGTTTGCTTGCTCATTCGCTCGGTTGCGTTCGATCGCGATCGCCTGACAACTTCTACCTCGTGGGTCTACAGAGAAATGTAATAGTTTCCCACTGGTTGCTATTTGAAACAATGTTATTCTCATCCGAGAATACTGAAGTTCCGGTGGATAACCGCGAGGTCAGTCACCGTTTTAGTTATTTAACGTCGATTTACTTTTATATCCTTATATTTAACGATGTGATAGAATTTATAGTTCTGTTACTACGAGACAGTGTCTTTTATATGTATTGATAATAAGTTGAAGAGAAACAAAATCTTTTAGCGATTTTTTAATTGTACCAAAATTGTGAAATTCGCCGTCGTACGAGCTCGTAAGAATATCACACGATGTCAGAGGCCTATTACCAGCCGACACGGATTTGGCACAGCTCGACCGAAGGGTTAAGCCAAAATCGTAATCGTGCAAAATGAAAGTAGGTATTCTGCGCTCCAGAAAACGTAATCACTGTTAACTGGTGCATCGTCCAACCTACATATCGCCTTACATATGAAATTCTCGCTGAAACAAAGTGCTAGCACAAGCTCTCGGAAATCTTTTAATCTCCGTTGATGGATCGACTCGGCGAGCAAACGGTAGTCGTCGTCGTCGTCGTGATCGATCCCTCGCGAAGTCAGTAACACTCTCCTCATTTCGCGGAACTTATGCACGGCGTAATCCGTCTCCCGGTAGCTCGGTTTAACGCGTAACTAACTGTCGCCACGATCGAGGATTCCTCGCGTGTGCAAATCCCAAAGCGTCGCGACGGGTTCGATTTCACCGGGAAATTCGCGCACCGGTCTCGGCTTCAACCCTCTTCCCATATTCGCGCCGCGCCGGCGAGAGGGTGGCTCCGCCGTCGAATGTTTTTCGGACATTGGGAATATATACGGACGGCTTCAAGGCGGGAGGGTTTTCGGTTCGCTGTGATCAATCATCGGTGGCTGGTTTTTCATCCAATTTCTTTCGGTCCTTCTACCACCATGCCTCGTGAACCAATACGCAAAAGTGAGAAAGCCGAGGAGAAGGAAAGGAAAATTGAGGCAGGGACCGCCGTACGTACTACGTACGTGCAATCGGCCCCGGTTCCCTCGACGAGGTTATTCAAATGCGTTAAGTATCGGGCGGCAAGGGAAATTGGAAGCGATTCTGCGAAGCATCGACGAAGCAAGACGCTCGGGTCTCTGGAGGAAAGTAAAAATATGCCCGGGGAACGACTGAGGAAAGAAAGGACACGAGAGAGGAGGACGTTCATTCTAAGGGACTGAGCCAATGTCCGAAAAACATTATGCATTATTTATGAGTTCTCATTCCGCCCGTCCACGTGGACTGTTCTTAGGATCGACGTAATCCCGCAGAGGTCAAAATGTATACTGGCGAGTTCGCGATTGAAAAACGGTGGCGGTGAAGAAGTTATAAGGTGCGTTTAAACGTCAGGCAGATCGTTCTCGACACAGTACGCTGGTCTCTCTCACGGCAGCGTCTACGTCTCTTTACTCGTCGCTAATTTACGTCCGGTAGACGTACACGGGACACCTGTCGCAGTTTGTCCGCCTCTATTGGCGTTATACGTTATTCGGTTCGCTATCTTCGTGGCATGCTTAACACAGAATGGGTTGCATCACGAGGTGAAGGGGGTCGGGGCACAAGTGCGGGAGCGAAGAAGTTCAAACTCTTCTCTCGAAATTTTCTTTCGAGGATCTTCTCGTCGAGCAGAGAACAAAAGGAGGAGAGATCAGACAGAGAGAGAGAGAGAAACTAAATGACAGAGAGCGAAAGAAAGAGAGAGATAGACGGTTCGCGCGGAGGAAGACGAGCGAGACAGACAAATGGCCAGAAATGGACGAAAGAGAAAGGAACAAATGGGCCAGTGAGGCTAGCCGAGCGGCAGACAGAAGGCAAGAGTGAAGTAGTCACTGGGATCGAGAAAGAAGCTTCTCTGGAAACTACTGTTACGTCTACGAAAGCCCACTGCATGGGTCGTGATTAGTGTACTGCACTATATCTCTTCGTTTCGAATTTCGCACCGCGCCAGTTGTTCGCCTCGAACGCCAGTTTCGACGCAACGCCGTACGACAGAAATATAAAAATTGATAAAACGCACTTCTACGTCAATGTTGCGTGACATAAGATGCGACATGACAGTTCTCAAATTATTGACGGGTAGCTAACAGATAAAAGTGCACGATGATCGTAAATGGCAAGAATGGCAAATGAAGTAGGTAATAAATAGATGGAATATCGTTGAACGATCAGTTTAAAAGCTTTCGAAGGGTCGTTTTCGTCTCTCGCGAACGCTGATCGAAGCGAATAATAATCGTACAATTTCGTGCCGGTTCGAAATTCCACCCGGCGGGATGGGACTCGACCGCTGCCGTATACAACCGTACGCTCACGGATTGAAACTCCATTATGATCTTATTCGTTCCGCGCGCGGGAACCTGCGGATTTTCATTTCGAGTTCGAACTCGACATGAAGGGCGCTTGACCCCGAAAACTTCGCCGGCTACTGCCTCCAATCAACCGGTTCGATTTGGATCATCCGATACTATATCGATCCACGGACGCGTTCATTTTCGAAACGTTTCCTATTAATTGCCCCAGCTTGCGTTCGTGTGTACGCGCAGCAGGGTCAACCGCGATGAGGTTCCCCTCGCGTATCGCTCGCAATCGATGCGCCCCTGTTACCCCCGTCCGATATTAACAATGACATTTCACCCCGTTCCGCGACCACGCGATTAATCTTAAATTACGGTCGATCCGACGAACTCGCGGTTCAAGTGTGCGCGGGGGTTGAAATTCGACTGTCCCGGCAGCGAGCGAATTCCCTGTATGTACTTTACCGAAGACAATTTTTCAGTCTGCGCTGCAGAATAATACCGATGGCGAATTTATTCAGCCGTATCGTTCGCTCGTCTAGTTCCTTGAAATTTTAATGCCCGATCGATCCGGCTCGATTTACGTTTTAACGATTTTGTACAGACGAGGCAGAGTAATTGAGATGGATTAATCGATTAGCGAAAGCAATTTTGCAGCATTCCACGAGAAAGCTTTGTAAGAATATTCCGTAGCGGTGGAACTGTTTGTTATTGACAGTCAAAGGCATGCAAACCGCTATCAAACCGCGGAGAACGGTAAGAAACGCGGACCCGATTTAACGACGTAACTTTTCTCATGCATCAACCTCTCATTACCTTGTCCCAGTTCGCCGGATTCAATTTTTCAATCAACATACTTACGACCGAACTTTCCGTATCTATTTATTTGACTAAACGCGTTTCTGATTTGCAATTTAAATTGTTTCGAAATTACTATGATGCTTTATAAGTAAGAACAAACTTTGTAAACTGCAAACTAATTTTGTTCAAAGAACGAAATCTGACTCTTGATCGGGTTACTCATATTTTTCTAACGCAGCCGGATTAAGATTGAAATGTTAAATAGGATTTATAGAAACTCCTTGGCTGCAAATATCGAGGCTAGCTGTAAATTGATGAAACGGAGTATTCAGTTACTTATGTACCTTCAATAACTCAAGTGAATCATTCAAGATAGCAATTTGTGCGCGAAGTCCAACAGGGATCGATCGTTCTTGAAAACGGAACGGGGAAGAAAGTTGACCATTGGAATCGGCGAACCTTAAATCTGAATTCCGGCAAGATTAGACCGGTACGATAATTTGTTGGTAACTTTATACATTCACCAGTTCTCTCATGTCGAGCCCGAACGGATCGAAACTTCGCCAGAGTCCGAGCGAACGTTGCTCAATAATGTACAGTCACGTCCTTCGCAAACGTGAAACGTAAAACTATACAACGTTCTGATCGTGACGTCTGCGACACGGTTTGATCGTCTATTCCCCGAAAGTTCACTCGTCGATCGGAGAGATTCCATCGTTTCCCGTGAAAACCTCCCTGAACCGAAGAAATCGATCCCACCGTTATTCGTTTCGTCGCGCGTCGGTAAGCCGAGCTCGCGACGCAGGCCACTTGGAAAGAGTCCTCGAAATCTACTTTCTCAAATCGTCTCTAGGTCTGAATCGGACTTTAGAGTTCGACCGCGTTTAAGTCACCATTGTTCTCTGAAATGAATTGCGACCGGAAGCCCGGAAGTTCTCGAAACAAAGGATCCGCTGTTCGAGTCCCTTGCGCGCACGAGACATCCGTAACTGCTCTCTCTCTTTCGGAACGGAGCCTAAACATGTGTGACGGCCAGTATCCGCTCGATTAGCCGGCGTTTAGCTAAACGGCGAGCAGGACGACGAGGCAGCGTTACGCACAGCGAGAGCGCGGTTAGTAAAATGTCGTAGCGATGGGCGTGAGTCAAGAGATATGTGCGCTTAGCTCGAAGTCGAGGTTGTTAATAATTAGTATAATAATTACACATAGTAATTTAGTTAGTTCACAGAGGCATGGCATTGTAGAGGTCCAAATTGGGATGGTAAAAGAGCGGTGTCGGGGTGGGCGGGTTATGGTGGGGTGCGGGTTGCGCCTGTATCAGGTTCAAGTTCAGGTTCAAGGGCGCGATGTGGGCCGCGTTATGGTGGTTAAGGTGGTTAAGGCTAAGGTGGTTACCTGTCGGGTAGGGCAGTCCGAAACTAGGATACCCAGAATAGCCGCGGCTTGCCGCGTATGCCGCGTACGCCGCCGCAGGGAAACCTGTGAACAGAGCAAAAGAATCTGTGAGCGTTTCTTCGGTGCGCTGAGGAAACTTTCGTGGCGCGAGACGGTAAACGGAGCGTTAGACGTTTCGTGAATCGTAGCTACCGTAAATGTGAGTGCGTGTCAGGCTCGCTCGCTAAACGTGGCGATCTTATTCGGATCTATTCTCAGCAAAGCTCGACGCGAAGTGATTTCAATGATTAATGATCCTTGTCTGAATTTCTATCTTTCACCGGTTTTACTAATCGTATCACTTGTTAGAAGTATAATATGCAACATTTATCAGCAATTATCAATTCCTAGTATTATTCAGAAATTTTCTAACAGTTATCGTGTCACAGAATAAATGTAATTCAATAAGTGATTTCTATCTACGAAATATATTTCCTATATCAACTATGAACTACATGCTTCCTTTTGAGAAGAGACGCTGCGTAAAACATTTCCCATATACGTACCGTATTACTCTACAGAAAATTCTCAATCGTAGCCACGGTCAAACAATTCCCACGAGCACAGATCCGTACAAGTTCCCTTTTTAACATCACGTTTTAATACGAATATTCAATTGAACACACCGGCGACGTATCTCGCGTGTGTATCTATATCGAATGACGAACTACGCGTCAACCGAGTAATTACATTAATGAACCGTCGCATTTTCACAGAGGTGAAAATGTACACGCGACGCGACGCGATTTGCCGTGCATGAAACATGCATGAGATCCGGCCGACTCGAATGGGAACGTGCAAGTAGCAAATACGGAATCCCGATTACCCTTTTATGATTGATCGACGCGTAAATATTACAACGACGGTATTACATCAATCGTGATCGAACGGTTATGAACCGAAAGGGAAGTAGACACGTCGTCGGACAGCGGAGTCGTTTTCTTGTACAACGTTCGTGCATATTTAATACTCACCATCAGGTAATGCTCCCAGGGACCACATAAAATCTATAAGGAAAAACAGATCACATTAATACCTGGCTTAGATTGATCGCTGCGGTGAAAACAAAATTTGTTCTTTTCATTTTATCATTCTTTTCCCTTCGTTTACTCGTAATCTCTTATTTTTTCTCTTGATCGCTTCGATCTGTTAGAGTGCGATGGTATCGAGTAAAGTCTCAATTGTATTAGAAAATTTCTGCAACTAAGCACGAAGAAAAGTACTGAGCGATTTATGAACCGGGTGAACGGAAATCATTGATGGTAACGTCTAAAGGCGATGAGAACTCGTGTCTAAGACTATCGTGACTCTTTTATTGCCGCGTATTCTAAATTGATGACACTGTGCAATATTTTTCTTCGTGCAGGCAAAGGTATGCGTAGACAATAATCAAGATATGTACATGGAGAGACAAGTTAAGTAAGAAAGCGAAGCGTTGCAGAAATTCGTCTCGGAATAGACGGTTCGAGTGTGTAACGGATGACTAGGTTCTTCTCCAAACAATGAGAGACGGGTAAAATAAAATGTAAAGAGAAATGAAGAGTTAGAAAACAGATTGAAATAAGAGATCGGATTAAAAGCCTTCTAGGTTAGACAGAGATAAAAGGAAAAACATAGAAGATAGACAGAGTACAGAGACAGAGTGTGGAGTATAATAGAAGTATAGAAAGAGAAAGAAACAGAGAGAGAGAGAGAGAGAGAGAGAGAGGCATCCATGAAATTTCATAATTTGATACTAATTGAAAAGACCACACAACTAAGATTCTGATCTATTTATAATATGTATATCGCATCGACTATGTAGCGCATCGACTAAATTCTGTGACAAGGTACTAGTAACTACGCGCGGCCGAGGTGTTTCCAATCTACGACAAAATAAACCCTCCTATGAACTATGGTTATTGTAGCCTTCAAGGTATTGGTTAATCATTTACCGTTAAGTAATATTTGCTAGGCCGACTATGTAGCTTATTAGATATTGACTAAGGGCCGGTAATGTGTCGTGCGGTCTCAATGAAAAAAGGCAAACCTCACGGCGTTAATCAGTTTTAAATTATTTCGATAAAATTTTAACGACGAGGAGATAATCGTTGAAACTGCTTTGTTCGTTCAAAGCGCGTGACACATTATCGACGCCACTACCACACTTAGATCGACGATACAATATTGAAAAAAAACACCGACCACAATACTACACTACTCTCACTATACTAGTGTCCATATTGAGACGCTGCTCTCACAATATACGCAGATGGAAAAAGTATAAGTAGAGCATTTATTCTAGCCATTAAAAATATACACTGATACATATTAATAGTATTAGTGATTTTTCGTACCTAAAGTCTCTCTACCGGGCTGGTTTTGATTACGTCAAGCACGCAACACGATTTTATATTCATTTTTTTTTTTTTTTCACTGCGAAATCTTTTTCTTTCTTTCAATCATTTTCATTGATAATTGCTCTCTTTCGAATAATCCGTCTGAACAACAATGAAAACTTCGTATGTGCTTCGAACATTATCTTATATTTATTTAATGTCATATAGATAGATATATCAATTCACGTATAATACTTAAATCCGAATATTAGATATATTATGTATATATTATATTGCATATAATATTTATGTATGTATGTTTTCACTTGTATGAATATCCGCGATACGCACAGTGCAACGCGTATCGTATTTCTGTATTATACTTGACAATTGTAGCGACATCATGTATATATTTATGTGATGATAATAATGATAATAGTAATATAATGTATATTGCACGTGTACTTTCTCAGATGCAACAAATCGATTTCGCGTAGAACAGACGTTTACGATGTACGACATTAACATTAATAGTCTCTTACAGTTTCGAGGAGCGTGTAAAGCTCATTCCGGTCGAGTTTACGACGGAGTTGCCGGCCGATTAACATTTACGTCACATCGATAGCTCCATCGGAAGCGTGGAATCCCATTGAGCTGCTCTTTCGGAATTTTAACGGATATCTTCTTTCTCGACGCTGCTCGATGTTTCCCAAAAGGGAAAGAGAAAGAGAGAGAGAGAGAGAGAGAGAAATAAAGAGAGACACATACAAACTGAATACTGCGAACAACAATATTTGTCCAAGACCGCTAAACACTCGTTTCTTTCTTTTCTTCTCAATAAAATCATCTGATCTTTCCTGTTTGTTACGTTCGATCTTTGCTCTTGTTCCTAATTTTACTTCGTTCGTACTTGCGTAGTACTTGCGCCCATTACATGTACAATTACGGGGTAAGGAGTTACGAATAATTCTCTAATCACTGGGGTTCACTGTGTCTAGATAATAAAAAGAAAAGACGCAATACGCTACGGTTCCCCACGTGTGTAACAAAATCAAAATCCGGCCCAAAGAAAAAAGCGTTTACAGAGGTGTGAAACAGAAAAGATAAAAAACCGCTGGTTAAGTTATCTGGTCTACTTACGAAACTGACACTGTTGAGCCTCTCGGGCAAAGTACGTACTTTCTAGGACACACGTCTCACGCATTATTATTAAGGTAAAATGATGCTATATAGCTTAGAAGAGTTAAATACTATGGTAACAAGTAATAGAGAGGTCTTCGGAGGGTGGGTAATAGAGGTGGCAGAGGAGGCAAAAGGATGGAACAAGGTTGAGGTCTCGGCTGCAAGGTGTAGGAGTAGATAGGTATACGCACGATACATATTTAGTATATATCCTATAGAGAGGTATAATATTACGTGTAACGTAATATAAACGTACTATGTAACGTAGCTTGTTAAGTAATAGGTACATTGTCATAGGTCTCTCTGAAGCCGCTCATAATATGCATTCTTCGTGGAAAACGCTATGGTTTCTCTTTCCTTCTTGATTTATGTTTCATTGTGTCACACTTTCTCTCGCACGTCTCTTTATTTCTTTTCTTCTTTTTTTTATAATCGTCGACAATAACCGGCGAAGAAGTGAGGAACGTTACGAAAGAGGGGACAATAAAGAGTCCTCCACGAAGAAACACCTAGAGTATACTTCTAAGCTAACGGTATCATAGTGACTTCCCAAAAAGCTATAGTTAACTAGTAGTCTCAATGGTAGGAACGTATACATAGTATAGTAATTCGTTAAAAATTATATTCGCTCTAGCTAATGTTCAAACCTAGTTTCACCTAAAAAGTCTCATTAAGTAACTAAGGTTTTTAACAACACAAATGTTTACCTAATTACCTAGATATATATAAATAGAGAGAGAGATATATATATATAGATATATGCTCCGATATGTATATAATCTGTAAGGTCTATTACAAAAACTAGAAGGTTGTAATGCGGCTCTCACAAAATATATCGATATCAATATCAAATACTATATGGCGGTTTTTTTTACCAAATACGTAGATACAAAACAATATATAATATATGTGTATTAATCTGCTGTAATCTAGAATGGATTAGATACTTTTTCGTTTATTTTTTTGTCGTTTCCCTTTTCTTCGTTTTTTTTTGCTCTTTTAAATTTAAAGGTACGTATAGTTATATTCATATAATTATATACGATATATGCGAACGATTATCTCTATGTATATGTATATAGACTGTGTGTTTTGGATTTATATACATATAGATAGCTTTGACCACGCGTATTTCTTTTCCTTTCGTTTATTGTAATTTTTTTTCTGTCTCTATCGTACGCTTGTACACCGTTATTGGAGTACGTACGTCTTCATTTTCTCGGCATTATGAAATTTCATGAAATTCATTGCGAAAAATATTCTGAAAGGCGCGACGAATGAGAAATGCTTATCGCCAACCATTTGCCGCGCGCTCCCGACGCGCTATCCGCCTTCACCATTCACGATCCACGGCTTTATTTATGCCCCTCGACATATCATCCGACGCGAATCAGAAATTCGCCTTCTTCTGGGAATAATAGTACACGGCGTGCCGCTACCTGGGAATGTATTCTTTCATCTTCGCCTCTACTCGATACTTTTCTTTTTTCCCGGTTTTCTTTCCCTCCCCCCCGTTTCTATCCCCGTCTTTTATCTCATTCAGTTTCGATGAGATTCTAGCAATCTACGATCTCGACGATGGGCGCCCTCGCTCTCGACATCGAGGCGAACCAACCTTCACTTTCATGGAAAATAGAATGTCGCAAGGAACCACGACCTCGATCGACTTTCCAAAGATTTCATTTTTCTTCTCCATTCTCTCCTCTACATATACAGTAAGCGAGCAAAGTACTCGCGCCCGGCACCATCGCCGACTCCCTCCACGATCGTCGTTCAGCCACGCGAACACAGGACGAGCGCTACGTTTAAAGCTTCGATCGAGTCGCTACGAAATTATCTAACATCTACGAATCAATTGACGTGTTGCCGCCGCGATACGCGAGCCGTTCGAGGCAGGAATATGTATCTCTCTTTCGTTCCGTCGAAAAGTACCTAAATATCTGTGCGATACCGGTGACCCGATTGCCTTTTCACTCGCGACCTTCCCCTACTCCCCTAACGAAAATATATCGCTGCCATTCTAATTAAAGTACGTCCGAAACACCTGGTTCTTTGCCCATTTAGAATTGATTGTCTCCTCTACACGGATGACTAACTCTATCCTCGAACCTCGCTAACTCCTAGAACGCTACCCGAATTGACTTGTAAATCATGATTGGAACAATTCAATCGCGCGAATTTATTGATAACGAGGAGTAGTCTCTCGCAAGAGGTAGGTACATTCGATTGTATCGACTCACTACCGAGTGCTACTTACCGAAACGAACTACTTTGAACACTTTCTTCTTTCTTTATTGTCCTACTACTCGTCTGACTAACCGTCTACCTAAGTCACTACCAGTCTTTTGCGATTCAAGTTTTGTTTCGTTGCTACGATATCTTCCCGCTACTCTTTCGCTACGAGGAAAATAAGACCACATCAGGTAAACACTACGATCTGCTGCTACTTCTATATCATTTTTCTCTTCTTCGCTACGATCACAGTTTTACTGAACTGAGCCTCTCGAGCAGTCCCACGATAATTCGCGTATTCCCACACTCGAATCTCCGGGAATAAAAAGGAATGGTTTCTCGTCTAAGCTACGTATTATTGCACTTCTCGATATGTTTTCGATACGCCGAGTCGGAAATCAACAGCAACCACGTAATTTACGCGAATACTTTCTTTGAAACGAAGGCGATGACTCGCAATCGAGGAATGTTTCAAGAATTATTCCTACTTCTATGCAAAATAACGTAACAGGAATTTGTACATACAACGCAGAACACGACCGTAACACAAATAATATAAACGAACACGATACCAACCCGACCAAACACGAGCTGCATAAACTATTATTCACGGCCTGTAAACTCATATTCCTACGTCCGCAAATTTGTACGTTCTTAATTCCTTGGCACAACAACAAATTCACCCCTATCTCAATCATACCAAAAACATAGAATCTACGCTACAATGCCATTCGAATATCCTGCATTCCACAAGATTATCCCAACAAGTAAATAAATCAAAGACCATCTCGAAACAATAGAAAATAAATATGCCGTCGAAGAAATGCAACCAAGTGACGTGCCCCTTCGAATTGCACACGCGGCCTTCTATTGCGGCCTCGAAAGGGGCGTCAGTATCGTCGGTCATAGGCCGATCGTGGGTATCGGATGGTAGACGGCACCCATGTCGAGGCCCTGGACGCCCAACAGGTCGCTCATGGAATAAGTGAGGGTGGCGGCCCTGGAGGCCGCCGCGGCAGCGACCGGATGAGGCCTGTAAGAGGCCGCGGCCGCGGCCGCAGCCGCGGCGGCGAGGGCCCTCTTGACATCGTAGACAGCCGCGGTGGTCGCCGCCGCGGCAGCCGCTGGTGCGGTCGCCCCGGTAGCGTACTGGTAGGTAGCGGCCGCGTTCGGTGCGGCGGCGGTAGCGACTATCGGCGCGAGCAAGTGGTGGTGCGGGGTGCCGGCGGACGCCGCTGCGGCTGCATGTGCAGCAGCCGCAGCTGCCGTCGGTAAGGGATACGGCGCGTAACGATAGGTGGTGGGGGTGGGTGTCGCGACCATCACCAACTCACCGTATGCGCCTCTGTTGGCTGCTCTCGTCTTCGCCAGGTTCGCCGGGAGCATCACTTCCTTCGGCTGTGCTTTCTTGCATTCGACCTTGAAATTCAACACAGACATCGGGTCAGTCGGTCGATCTCGTGCGGGCACGGTGGCACTCGATGCCTCCGGGAGCTTGGTCGAGGGGTCGTAGGAATCGATTCAGGATCGGGGAATTTCTGGTTGCTTCGAGGTTTGGTACGTTCATTTGTCTGATTTGGAAAAGCTGTAATATTTTGATGACGGTATTCATTGACAGTATGGAAATAAAAAAGGATCCGATGTGTCCTCAGGGTTTATTTGCAATTTTGAAACGAGATCTGATTTACAATTCATGTAATATAACTAGTCGATACAATTAATATTTATATTCACAGAAAATATGTCAATGATAAAAAAATATGTTGAACGCGAGTACAAAGTACAAGAGATAAAATTTTGTAGCCAATCTGATCGTTCCTTTGATGGAAGGACTCACGCTAATTTACCTGCTGGTTATGAAGGTACATTCGAGAACGAGCTTCGATGCGCGTAATCAAAGGTAATCCGATGACAGGCGATTAACGCGATCCATCATTCTAACCGTAGGTATCATCGTGAATAGACAGCTGTTTTATGCGAATTAATACCCGGCCGTAGGTAATGCCTACCGGGTTATTGGTAGAATCGGCTAATTATCTATGCTGGTTGGATGGATTTATGGGGAACGAGAAGTGGCATCTCGGGCAAATCCTTGATCGGCGTCAATGGAATTTCGTTCGATACTAGACGACGAACAGAACTGTCTATCTCTACTATGATGGGCTTTCCAGAAGCCGCTTTTCGTCTTCCGTTTGGCGGGTTCGCGCGCGCGTGCTACGTGCATGCGTGTCAAATGCAAATAACCACGGCAGCCCTTCTCAATTATACGGAAAATTAATTCCGCTCGACGCCGTATCCGCAGACGGAAAGCGGAAGGCAAATACCGTTTGATACCACCTCTGCGGCCACGTAGTCGGGTGGAAGAGGAGATGAGGGAGAATGAAGAGCGTGATGGCGCTCTCTCTCCTCGTTCGACAAACAGAGCTTTGTTGTCCGACCGGTGGACTCACCATTTTGTTGTTGATTTCGTGGAAATGAATCTCGCAGACTTTGTCGACCACGTCCTCGCTTTGAAACGTGACGAAGCCGAAGCCTGAAACAGAAAGAACAGGTGTCGTTTAATAATCGGCGTTGACAATGAAAATGAATGCTTTCGTTGCAAACAGACGCAGCACAGTCTGAGTTAAAATTCTTGTGAAACGAAATTTCACCGGAAATTGATCATACTAATTGGTGTATCCTACTATCAATCTACAATAAATTGATGAAAATCATTAGAGACATTTTGAAAACCTGCGGAAAATCACTTTTGTTCGGTGCTCAAAGAACGTCTCGAATTAACGTAACTACCGCGCGTTCACTGTCGTGAAGGTAACTATCCGCCTGATCTTCCATTAATTCAGCCGAGTCCGACGAGCTTCGTTTCCTTTCCAACCCCTTTTCGGTCGGAGAGGAGGAGCCCCTCGAACGAGGTCTAAGCATTTCAGCTCGAAATTTATTTCGCCCGAAGAACGAAAGAATAGAACAGACGACGACGAAGTCGTGAATAAGGCGGAGAGCGAGAAGGTGGATGAGCCAGCGAAGAGTCATAACTTAATCAAGCATCAAGGGTTATTAAAAACTTTGCATTGGTCTCCAGGTGATTTTAATCTCGCCCCTTCGTGTCTCCGACTTTCTCCACTTCACCCTCGCCGTTCCTTCTTGATTCTTCCTTTCTCGCGCTTACACGGCAAGCGTAGCAATTCAGGCTAGAGTTATCCGGGCGCGGTGCGAGTTATACGAATCCAGTGCGCGCGATGTCGCTTAAGATAACCAGGAGTTAGTGCTTCCGCGCTGAAGCAGTCTACGAGGAGGAAGAGGCAAGGCGAAACTACGCCGGGTGACTCGTAATTAAACACAGCCGATGGATACCGGAGCCGAATGCGAGCCGACAGTTCGCGATTCTTCGAGCGTTCTCGTCTACGCGTCTCTCTCTCTCTCTCTCACTCTCTCTCTTAAATTTTACACCGGAAATGGAACCCGGGCGGCGTTGAATTAAATTACATTTGAGAGCGAGCTCTACGCCGCGGACGACACGCAGACACCGGCGCGAACCGCAGTTTGTTCGAGTAATTAACGTCGATCGATCTTAATTTACGTACTTATTTATTTACGCTGGTTAATATGCAACGAGATCGCGCCACCAGCTCGGAGATCAAAGTTTCCCGAGTAACGAGTATAATTTTTACTTTCATTCCGCCGCGGTGCTCGGAATGCTAATGCACAGGAAGGCAGAACTTATTTGATTTCCCGTAGAGAGTCGACGGTGGGTAGAGGAAGAATAAATTTCTCAAATTGATGAATGTGTTATTATAAAAAGAGTTTGTTTTTGTATTTTATAAAATAATAATGAATTGTAATAAATAGATCAGTGATGTGATTCGTTCTTTTTACTTACGCGTACGTACTAAAAAGCTGTTTTAACAATTTATTCTCAGTGCTTGACTTTTTAATGCCTCCAAATCCATTGCTTCGTAATTCATCGGCTTTTTGTTCCATTTTATTCGCCCTTATAAAATTAACGGTCTGCGTCCGAGCCGAACTACATAATGTACTTAATTTTGCAAGTGTCGTTTAAATAAAGTTAATAAAACCAACAGCGTTAATGATATCAATAAAATATATACAAATTATTTAAATTTCATAAATCGTTTCGCGAAATCGATACTTAATGTAAAATGAATGGCCCGTGGAACAAATTTATGGCTCTTCAACGGTCCTCTTCCCCGCCGAATGTTTTCGCGGTTTCATTCACCTAGGAAATTCACCCTTGTTTTCCCTGTCATCATCCTCCGCGCCATCACTTTCATCCACGACTCACCGATCTCTTTCTGTATCTCACTTTCTCTCTCCCCCGACCTTTAAGCTCCCTCCGCCGGCATGAAAAGCGCGAGTGATTAAGTTATAAACTTGGCAAGACGTCCGTTTGAGTGAGGAAGGGTCTTACTTCATTTATGTAATTTATAGTACTCTGCCAGTCAGCTAACTCCTGAGCACACTCCCCTGCTACCTCCCCGGCAGCGTTCTTCTTATAAAGTACAAAGGCCGTGCCCTGACACCGGTAACATTTAACTACTTCCTGTTGGAGTCTACCAAGCGTGCACACAACGTCCGGGAGGAGCAAGGACCAAGCCGGGATCGCAACGGTATTCACCGTACCGATATTATTCGTCTTTTAAAGCGTGCTCTAATATCCTTCAGGATATTACAAAGTCGTCTTCCTTTAAAGGGTATTAAAAAGTTATGACAGACTGTTCACGCTGAGCCCACGTCCTTCAGTCACTTTTCCCAGGGAATAAAGTCGACGGCACGCAACCCGGCTGATATCATGTGTGCGAAATATCGCATGAATTTATAATAGGACCGACGACGCCGTATAAAATACCGTCTTCGTAACGCGCGCGGGCGCCCGCTCGTAATGAAATTATGTACTATGTTTCATAAATTCCGTACCGCGTTAAGCATCTCCGCGGAAAAGAACACAGTCAAGACAACTGAAATAAAACCAATGAGCCAAAGAAATCGTTCTCTGTTGATCACGATATCCGCACGATCGAACGTTTATTTTTATCGATAAAACACGATTATATCGCGGCAGCATGCACGCACACGCCCGCATCCATGGAAACGATGGCTCGATCGAGGGTCACGCGATTTTAGAGTCTTGACTATTGGTCAGGATCACCGAAATGGGGTGCCGGAGAGTAAGGTCGGCCCGGTCAGCGATCTGCGGCCGGTCCAATAAATTTTGAAAGAAAAACTGGCCCCCGAGTTCGAATTTTCATAAGGGGATTTATTTCCTGGGTCGGGTCTGCCGAACCTCCGCCCGTTCCTCGCGTCGAGTACGTACAACCGGCTGCCAACCACCCCCATGGGGGTTGGGGGCTGACGGTCAGGAGGAAAAAGTGCGCGCTCAGCTGTCCGACCCCTCGTTGGGCACCAGATGCGCTCATTTCAATAAAAAACACACCCCGAAATATCTTTTACTCCTTCCCGTGACGGTGGCCCCTTATCCTCTTACCTCCCGAGACTTCCTTAAATGATCCATAAACGGTCCCGGCCGGTGTGAAATTACTGTAGAGCCCGACCCGGTTATCTGACTATTTTTCGCTACCTTTCCGCCCTCGTAGAGTTATGATCGACTTTATCAGTTCCGGCCAGCGAAACGAATGAAAATATGTTTCTACTAAACTTTCCTCTCGAACAATTTTACAGAAAAACAGTAGAACTTGTAATAGATCGATGAGTTCCATGATCAGACTATTACTATTAATCTAAAAAGTTGTGGTACGTTCGCCATTGAGTTTTTCAATTAATCTACCGTATCAATTATCCTTCGTTCTTTCGAAATGAAATGAACGCAGCCGATCTCAGCTCGAGGACTGTGAATCGACGCCTCGAATCTCGGCGACGAGGTTAGACAAGTATTAGCGGCTTTCAGTCTAGGGTTAAATTCTCTTGACGAGAGGAAAAATGGAGCTTGATGGCTCCAAGTGGCAGGCGTTGACGGAAGAGAGCAATTCTTCCCTGTTCCGCGACCATTTCGTCGTCCTCGGCAGCCAGTCGTCTTCACCTTTCCCACCGTCCTCCCCTCTCTGTCTCTCATCTCTCCTCTCCTCGTCCATTCTACCACTCGACTCTCGAGCATAATGCGACCCCGCCATTGTACCAGTGGCCATGTTAACGTTTAAAAGCCACGCTGCCATGCCGCTAAGCGCGTTTCAGAATTTTACCGTCTATTGAGAATGGTAAAAGGTTTCTTTCAAAAGGCTCGGCTGGCAGAACGATTTGAAACTTGTAAATGGATACGGCTTATACTTTCACTGTTCCTCTCGTTCCATTTCCATTCGTTCCCGCGCCGCGCCGCGACTTCGGCATTCTATCTGTTTTACGTGGTCGAGCTCTCTTCGAATGTTTGTTTCTTCCCGCTAAGGCTACATCTTAGCCCATTTCCTAATTGCATGTATGGCGGCAAAATCAAAGAACAAAGAAACGACGCGACAGTTTTACATATTTGTTAATTGCATTGCCTCAAATTGAAGCTAGCTTGTTTTTTGCCTCAGGCAATTATATAAAAGCTCCTTGAAAAGTGACTGTAAAATCTATCTGGATTTGTTATCATACATTTCGATCATAATATTTTTGGCATGCGGGGATTCGCCGGATGGTGATGGACTTCAAAGTAGGTCGTCCATTTTGTAATTGCGGCGCAGTTTATGGCTATCCAATTAGAGTCGATGCGTGCTCGTAATCCGTTTTGTGATCATCTTTTTCAAAAATATCCACTCGGGAAAAGTCCGAAGAAAAAACGTGCTCGCAATGATGCAATGCTTTTTTATGAACGAAGTTTTCAAGTTACGAGCTTTCTGTTCCTCGTCAAGCTTCGGAGGTTGAAGTATGAATACATTTTATGCGAGCAGTAAAGAATGAAGTTTAATTTTATTTTTGTCGGACTCGGGAACGCATTTGGATTTATGAAAGCACTTAATGTGAAATTATGAGTCTTAAAATTGAAGAGATCCGAAGACTGAGATAATTAGGAAAAAATTTTATAGAAAAAACTGAAATGATTTTAGTCATAAGTCGTTCCTATCGTCAGTTCTGAAGATTCGTTTGTAGTAGACGAATTCATCGGACAGAGTCGACTACGCTGATGATGAATGTTTTAAATACAGAATGTCAGAGCCCTAACTCATTGTAATTACACCAGTTTGAAATATCGTTTAATAGCAAGTTCAGGAATATTTACTTTAGTAGAGCTATACATCTCGAAACCATTAATCTCCGTTGAACGACCCGCACAGTTGTTAAGGATTTAATGGCCGCAACGTAATCTACGTTTTATTCATTCAACGAAAAATCCGACGCACAAAAAGACGATCGTAAAGATCGTAATCTGTTATCAAATTTCCGTTTCTCCGAATCCGTCTCCCCCACGTTTCCATACGAATCAGTTATGAGAAAAAAAAAGGTAAAACAAGAAAACTATCGAAAACGCGAAATCATTCATAGAAACATTTCATAGCAAGACATATTTCCAATTGAATTTCAATT